GTTTATCTAAAATATTCGCAATATAACTAGGAAGACGTTTTAAATACCACACATGAGTTACTGGGCAGGCTAGTTTGATATAGCCCATTTGATACCTTCGGATCCGAGAATCCACAAATTCAACTCCGCATTGTTCACAAAATTTGGGTTTATCTTTTTTATCTCCGATAACTCGATAATTTCCACACGCGCAAATTCCACTTTTGATAGGCCCAAATATTCTTTCACAAAATAATCCATCTTTTTCTGGTTTATTTGTTTTATAAAGAAAGTATAAGGTTTTGTTACCTCGCCAACTATTTCACCATTGGGCAAAAGTTTACTGGCCCAAGCACTTATTTGTTGAGGAGAAACCAATCCAACTCGCATAAAATAAATTTTTTTATTAGTTCGGATTAGATTAAGCTTCCTTCCTATGAATCTGGAAGTTCTTTTCAGATACCAGGATATAATTCAGTTCCAGAGCTAAAGATCGTAGTTCTCGAACGAGCAATCTAAAAGATTCTGGAGCATTTTTTGTATGAGGTATTGTACCTCCAAGAATTGTAGTACCAAGTACTTGGTGACGAGCTCTAATATGATCCGATTTATAAGTAAGCATCTCTTGTAAAATATGAGCAACCCCAAATCCTTCGAGAGCCCAAACCTCCATTTCCCCTACCCGTTGCCCCCCCTGTTTCGCTCTTCCTCTAAGGGGTTGTTTATCATCAACTTGATGAAGTAATCCATAACTTCATAGAATCATAACTTCAAAGACTCGATTTCTTGGGCACCTTACCCGTTTCCACACGATTACTATAAAATTATCATATAACTAATGTACCATTACCGCAAAAATATCATACAATGATAGTAGTAGAATTTTAAAATTCAAAAGTTCTATTTAAAAAAAATCCAAATGTTCAGAAATGGTACTAATTATATTTTATTTTCTCAAATATGACTTATTTAGTCCTATTAAAGATGAAAGTGTTTAAAACTTTCTAAAATATGAGTAAATGAATCCTATTTTGAAAACAAAGCAATGATAGTTATATTTATAAACTTTATTCTTGTTTTATTCATGTCTAGAAAATTTTCTCACGTATTTATGTACGGAGTATAAGAAATCTAAAGAAGTCGAACGTTGGCGAGTGAAAAGTGAAGCAATTGTTTGTATCAAAACCACATTATATTCATTCTTATTTGGAGAAATTCCTCTTAAAAACATTTTCCATCGTATCATACAATATATGATGCACTTAAATAAAATTATTACATACTACATAGTGAGGACTTGAGGTTGATGAAATATTTTGCACTAAAACTTACACAAGTCGATTAATTTTCCTTCACTTTTCAACATATCTAGAGATGGATAAGTGAAGGACAAGATATGTTGAAAAGTGAAGGAATAAAATACAGACTAGAATGGATAAGTGAAATTAGGACCTGTTCATTCGGACCACACTTTTCAACATTTTCTATTGAATGATTGAACTCGAATCCCCTCAGACAAGATCAGAATTAAACAAACAAGATTAGACCAAACTTAAACACCAAACCAGACTAGACTTCCATAGTTATAAAATACACAGGAATCAGACATTTACCTTATCAGGCCAGACCAGTTCAAACCAGACCAAATCAAACCAGACTTAAATAGACCAGACTAGGCCAGCAAATAAAACCATTCTAGCTCATGCAAATTTTGACGTATTGACCATGTAAACTTGAGACGTCATTAGCCAGACTACAATAAACTAAGAACTTGGCATTATTAACGTGGATGCTCTAATAGACTAATATCTCAACTTGGGATCCATCGTTAAGAGTGGCTATTCTTCTCGGATTTCAAAAAATCAGAGTTCAGAAAATCTTAGGCGTCTAATTGTACACATTTGATACTTGCATTAGCCTTTTTCCTTTCAGTTACGAAAGGCATTCTAAACAGTGGCCACATAAATAGTATTTCTACATATTCACATGAGAACACAATCAGACAATCCTACCAAATGCACGCAATAAAGAAAGAAAGAAAATAAATATATATTGATCCATTCAAACACCTTCATGTTCAGCACATGGAATTTTGACCCCTAAAGTATAGAATCAATACGAAAGCTGAAAATGTCTCAAGGGTGTATGTATATGAATAGTAATACATTCCAGACAGTCATGATTTCACTTCACCTCCGGAGCTATAATAACATCATAAACAATTGGAGGATGGCATATATCTATCATCATTTATAGTTTTGTACCCCAGGACACTTTCTGCTGTCTGTACCTCTATGCATTGGCTCATAAGACGAAATTTAGCTACTTCCTGACTTGAGGGTGTTACTCAACCTACATAATTGATTGATAACATACAACAAAAATATTAGGGAGGCAATACATGTTACTCCATCCCGCAGAATACTTCCCAGTTTGACTTGGATCAGAGTTTAAGAAAGTGGAAATGTATGTTTGTGATTGAGTAAGAAAAAGGTAAATGAATGGTTGCCACACAATCCTTTCCATGCCAAAAAGAGAAATGGGAAGAATTTTTTGGGGACGTCTCAAAAAGGTAAGTGGAAAGAATTTTCAGGGACAGAGGGAGTATATGAATATTATTGGCACAGCGAAATAATATGAATGTCAAACAAAATTATGAATCCTTCATTTCCCCTCATTACACCTGTCCAGCCACCGTCCTTTCAAGTCCCCTTCTCCGTTCCTTTGTCTTAGCATTAGGCTTTCCATTTCTTTTGTAGCATTTTCTTGTGAGTAATTTGTTTGAAAAATGATAAAGGTACCCCATTTTGTACCCCATTTTGTACCTCCACTCTATTTTTGTGTCTCACAAAAGCACCTCATTAATTAAAGTGGGACAATTTATTTATTGAGTTTGGCTTTTGTGAGCCACAAAAATAGGTTGGGATACAGGTTGAGGTACAAATTGGGGTACCTATAGCAGGTTTGAATTTCTCTATCCCTGCTACAATTTGATTCTTTATTAGTCCTCATTATTATCAAGTTAGTTTTAACCTCCTAAAGGTGTAATGTTAGCCTGTTGTTTGTTTTATTTATTCCACCTTGAAATTAGTTTCCATGGTTGTAACAATTTGCACAAATCGGTGCCCACCTACTATATAACTAGCTATATTTGTTTTAGGATGTTACTAATGATCTGGATGTTTTAAAATTATATTCGCACTATTTACTTTAATTTCTTTAAATAAGAACATTTGATGTTTTAAAATTATATTCGCACTAATTACTTTAATTTCCTTAAATAAGAACATTTGATGTTTTAAGGCCACATTCTCATTACGCTTTCATTTTATATACCTTATACTTATATAGTAGTTCCGTCTAAATCCAAGTATAGTAGGTACTTTGTGTTCAGAAAATGCCCATAATAAATATTCCTCAAGTTATTGCCGTTATGATATGATATTATGGGACAAATTGTTTAATACGTAGTATGCAACATTAAAATTAAATTAAACTTTGTGAAGCCATATAGTCATTTCTAAAGATATTTCACAGCCTGTTTAAAACAAAAGCTTCCTATTTGTAAGTTGTTTTCTTAATACCTGTTTCATAAGTGTACAGATTCAAATGTATCTGCATTAGCATATGTTCTTGACAAGATACAAATATATTTAGAGGGCCATGTACGTATATTTTCATCACATGTATTGTTATTGTATTTTAGCTAGTTTTATATTTCAACACCCACATGGGATGCTATGTACGTAGGATATTAGTTCTTTATAAGCATGTATAGTACTCTCTCACAAAACAACTGTGAACAATACAATTGAAGTATTTGTTTCCTCGGTATCATTATTTTACTTTAGCATGGTATCGGAGCAAGCATTATAATTTTCAATTTTTTTTCTCCTTTCCAGTTTTTTTTTTTTTTTTTTTTCTCACAATCGTACACAGCCATCTCTTTGTTTTTTCTATGACAACTCCTATTGACAAAGTTTCCACCATCACAGCCTCACCAACTATGGAGTTTCGCCGGAAAATCAATGATCCGTCTTCTCCGTATTATCTTTCAAACTCCGACATTCCCGGTATAAACATATGCGGCGTTACTCTTCGTGGAGAGTCCAACTATCGTGAATGGGCAACCGCTACGAAAAATGCATTTCGGGCAAAACGGAAACTTGTTTTTTTGGATGGTTCAATCTCTCGACCGACGACCAACAATGACGACCTAGACGATTGGTATAGTGTTAATTCCATGTTAGTGGGGTGGCTTATGTCTTCCATTGACCCGGCGGTACGTTCCAACGTTGCCTATATGGACAGTGTCCATGATCTTTGGGATGATTTAAAAGTGCGCTTTGACGTGGCGGATCCAATGCGCATGCATGAACTCAAGGACGCCATTCGATCTTGTAAACAAGCGGGTAAATCCGTTACGATCTATTTTGGCCGTCTCAAATCACTTTGGGATGACTACTCCAACTATCGACTCTTACCACAATGCAAGTGTGGTGGGTGCTCTTGCAATCTTGACAAAGAATTTCTTAAAAGTGTGGAGATTGAGAAAACACATGAATTTCTCATGGGTCTGGACAGCAACGTTTATGCCACTCTACGCTCAAATGTTCTTAGCATGACATCCCTACCTCCCCTAAATAAGGTTTATCAACTGGTGGTTCAAGAAGAGCGTCATCGTAACGTCACTCGCACTCCGGAGAATAGCGACGATGCGGTGGCTTTCGCCATCCGACCAAGCCGCTCTTTCACCACCGACAAAGAAAAATTATTTTGTACTCATTGTAAAAAAGATAACCATGATTTCAAACATTGCTTCAAGCTTTCTGGAAATTATCCAGAATGGTGGTTTGCAAATAAGGGTGGCCGCGGACGCGGCTCTAGCCCTGGAACCGGTAGGGGCAGGGGAGGGCCTACCACGGTAACCGCTCATGCAGTTCAAGTTAATGAATCTCCCACATGTTCCTCTGCACCAATTGATCGTGCGTCCCTGCCAATGCTTTCTGATGCACAATGGAGTGATTTTCTAAAAATGCTCCAAAATGGTAAAAACTCATTTTCAACAGAGAAGCTCACAGGTACTAAAGTTTTCATTGAGTGGATATTGGACACTGGGGCATCTTTTCACATGACGAGCTCCAGATCTATTTTGTCTAATTTAACTCCTATTCCGCCCATTCCGGTTACTTTACCAAATGGGGAAATAACTATGGCAACACACATGGGTTCCCTTATATTCGGACCAACATTTACACTTCCGCATGTGCTTTATGTTGCCGGTCTGACGTGTCATTTAATCTCCGTGGGACGCCTAATTGATGATTTGTGTTGTCATGTTACATTTACTGATAAGTTTTGTGTGATACAGGACCTCACTTTGAGGACGCTGATTGGAGTGGGTGAACGACGTGGTGGGGTCTACTACTTTGTTGGTCCAGGGGTGGTTCAAGCTCATAAGGCAACTAGTGTGGATCCATATGATTTATGGCACCGACGACTTGGTCATGCATCTTCTAAAATTGTTTCTTTGCTTCCAGTTTTTCGTAATAAAATAAACAAGGGCGGCTCCTCCAATAAATTTTGTGACGCTTGTATGCGGGCTAAACACACTCGAGAAGCCTTTCCCTTCAGTACTAGTCGTGCTTTGGAGTCTTTTGAATTAATACATTGTGACGTTTGGGGCCCATATCGTATACCCTCATCTTGTGGGTCTCATTATTTTCTCACCATTGTTGATGATTTTTCTCGGGCTGTTTGGGTGCATTTATTCACTACCAAGACTGAAGTTCCTCAATTAATTAAAAAATTTTTCGCAATGGTGAGGACTCAATTTGCCAAAAATATTAAGATTGTTCGCAGTGATAATGGTACAGAATTCCAAACTTTGCGACCTTTTTTTTTTCGGAAAAAGGAGTAATTTTTCAAACTTCGTGTGTTGCTACACCTCAACAAAATGGTCGGGCAGAACGCAAGCACCGTCATATTTTGGAAATTGCCCGGGCCCTACGATTTCAAGCGAACTTACCAATTTCTTTTTGGGGTGAGTGTGTTCTTGCTGCCGGTTATCTTATCAATCGCACCCCTTCGATGCTAAATAAAGGAAAAAGTCCATTTGAATTATTATATGGGCAGACTCCCTCATATGATCATCTTCGGACTTTCGGTTGTTTATGTTACGTTTATCAGAATAAGCGTGATAATGATAAATTTGCTCCCCGCAGTCAAAGGTGCGTATTTTTGGGTTACTCGTATACTCAAAAAGGATAGAAACTTTTTAATTTGGAGACGGAGCGTCATTTCATCTCAAGAGATGTTCGGTTTGATGAATCAATTTTTCCGTATGCAAAAATGGAGTGTTCTAATGGCCAAACAAATAATATTGCATATCAAAATAAAATCCTCTCCACTACAGGCAATAATTTGAGTGATTTGGCTTTACATAACACCTGGATGCATGCACTAGCAGAGGATGACTTATCACCTTTGCCAGCTTTCATAAATAAATCAGGAGTGCAAATACCCTTGGGCCCCACATCACCACCAACTACTGAAACATATTCACAAAATCATCACATGCAACACGCCCCACCTTCTGGCCAAGAAATAAAGAGCTCCCAGGAATCAACATCTCCTAGTGAACCTACTACACTCTCATCTCCTGACAACATGGATCCCACCGAGTCCGTCTCTTATGGAATTAACTCAGAACTGACCGTGCAGCAACCCTCTTCCCCCCTTGGACGCGGTCTACGTCGGCGGACTCGGCCAGCAAAATTACAGGATTATTTGTGCAGCAACGTGACTCATGAAGACCCCCACCTCGTCACCCCCTCCGTCTGCTTCCTCAGGTATCCTCTATCCCTTGACTTATTACGTAAATAACAACAAATTCTCATTTCCCCACCGAGCATTTCTTGCAGCAATTTCAGGTGATGTGGAACCCACTACTTACCGAGAAGCTATTCGTGATGATCGTTGGAAAGCAGCCATGCAAAATGAACTTGATGCTCTTGAAAAAACAGGAACGTGGACCTTAACTAAGTTGCCTCCACACAAATCTGCCATACGATCAAAGTGGGTTTACAAAATAAAATATCGCAGTGACGGAACTGTGGAACGTTATAAGGCACGTTTAGTCATTTGCGGAAATCATCAAATTGAGGGTATTGATTACCATGAAACATTTGCTCCGGTTGCTAAAATGGTTACAGTTCGAACCATCTTAGCAGTCGCTGCTTCTCGTAACTGGGATCTTTATCAACTGGACGTAGATAATGCTTTTTTACATGGTGATCTAAATGAAGAAGTGTACATGCATCCGCCACCTGGATTTCGAAGTATGGCCTCCGGTCTTGTTTGCCGGTTACATCGCTCTCTTTATGGTCTCCGGCAAGCCCCCCGTTGTTGGTTCCATAAATTAACTACGGCCCTAAAATCATTTGGCTTCTCTCAGTCAAATGCTGATTACTCACTTTTTACATTACACAATGGGTCCGGTTCCCTTTGTGTTCTCATCTATGTGGACGATCTCCTTATTACTGGCTCTAATCCTGCTATGGTTGACCAACTCAAATGTTTTTTGAAAAAAATGCTTTCCCATTAAAGATTTGGGCAAATTAAAATACTTTCTTGGGATAGAAGTGGCAAGAAGTTCTTCTGGAATTTTTTTATCACAACGGAAATATGTTCTCGATTTTCTGGCCGAAACTGGTTTGACGGGCGTCAAACCGTCGTCTTTTCCGATGGAACAAAATCATCGGCTTGCAATTGACACGGGCCCTTACTTTGATAACCCCGAGCGCTATCGGCGTGTCATTGGGAAACTCATTTATTTGAACCTGACCCGACCGGATATTAGTTATGCTGTTCACATCCTTGCTCAGTTTATGCCAAAACCACGTCTGGCACACTGGGATGCGGCAATTCGGGTTCTCCGCTATCTTAAGTCCACACCTGGACAAGGTATTCTTTTATCTGCCAGTTCAAAACTTGAACTTGCTGGTTACTGTGATTCTGATTGGGCCGGTTGCCCACTCACACGACGATCGGTAACAGGTTTTTTCGTCCGCCTCGGGGACTCCCCGATTGCATGGAAAACAAAGAAACAACATACGGTGTCTCGCTCTTCCGCTGAAGCTGAATATCGCTCCATGGCATCTGTAACATGTGAACTTATTTGGCTAAAAAGTCTTCTCACGTCTCTAAATGTTCATAATCAGCAGTCTATTCCATTATATTGTGACAATCGTGCAACCATTCACATTGCGTCCAATCCGGTCTTCCATGAGCGCACAAAACACATTGAGATAGACTGTCACTTCCTCCGAAATCATGTTCAGACTGGTCTTATTTGCCCTAGCCATCTAAGCACAAATGAACAACTCGCTGACATTTTTACAAAAGCTCTTGGTTCTCATCAGTTTACTTATCTATTATCCAAGTTGGGCATTTCCAACCTCCATGCTCCAACTTGAGGGGGGATGTACAGATTCAAATGTATCTGCATTAGCATATGTTCTTGACAAGATACAAATATATTTAGAGGGCCATGTACGTATATTATCATCACATGTATTGTTATTGTATTTTAGCTAGTTTTATATTTCAACACCCACATGGGATGCTATGTACGTAGGATATTAGTTCTTTATAAGCATGTATAGTACTCTCTCACAAAACAACTGTGAACAATACAATTGAAGTATTTGTTTCCTCGGTATCATTATTTTACTTTAGCAATAAGTTAGAAACCCGTCAAACCCCTTTGCAAACGTATTACTATAAATTATTTTGGCAGTTTGAAGCTCAGGTTGTTCCATCTAGGAGGTAAGATTGCTTTCCACTAATAATAGGTATCTCTACTTATACTTAGATAGATATACGGATATACCTATTATTTCCACCGGTAGGGTTTTAGCATTCATTTTCAGCCTTTCTTGCACTATTTGTTGTCTTGATACTCTAAACGCACTACAGGGCATGTTTACTAATAGACATATTTTCTGGTTTTCTACTTTTCTTTTTCGTTCTCCAATTTCTGTTTTCATTTTCCAATTTTCTATCTTCAATTTTCTGTTTTCATATTTTAGTTTTCCATTTTCAAATCTGAAATCATGTTCATCAAAAATTTTCACCCGGTTCTGTGATCGTCCAGAAGACCGAAAGTGCAGACTTGACGGGGGATCGTCATGTCGTGGACCGGACAGGTACCACTAGGTCATGGACCGGACCGGGATTGCCCGCCCATTGACAGGACTGGTACCGCCTGGTCGTGGATCGGACCGGACAGGGATTGTTGGGTCATCGATCAGACCGGAAAAGGACCATCATGTCATTGAACAAACCGGACATGGATCACTGTGTCGTGGATCGGACCGAAAAGGGGTCACACAATCGTGGACCGGACTGGACAGGGACAACCGAGTCGTGGACTAGACCGGACAGGGACAATTGGATCGTCGCCCGGATCAGACCGGGATCATCGGGTCTTCGACCGGATTGGACCAGGATTGTCGACCGGATCAGACCGGGACCATCGGGTGTTCGAACAGATCGGACCGGGATCGTTGGGTCTTCAGTCGGACCGGACCGGGATAGCTCAGTCGTCGACCGGACCGGACAGGTACCATCGGGTCAATGACCGAACCGGACCGTCAGGTCTTTGACCGGATTAAATAGGGACCGTAGGGTCATTGACCAGAATAGAACCGACACCGGAGCGGTACCGGAATGGAACAGACACCGGAGCGGGATCAGATCAACCACTAGGTGTAAGGATGTTTTCTTTTGGACTGAAATTTGCTGGTTTGGTCTAGAGCTGGACTCGGGCCGGGCGGCCCGACCCGGGACCGAACCGGCCCGGTCACTGTTTGGCCCGGCCCGGCCCGACCCGTGGCCCGGTGGGTCCACCGGTTCGGTTTGGCCCGGCCCGGGTGCTGGGCAGTCCGGGTTCAAGCCCAGCTTTTGGTGAACCGGCCCGGCCGGTTCGGGCCCGGTCCGGGCCGGATTTTAATTTTTTAGAAATTTTTTTGAATTTTTTTTAAGTTTTAGGTTGGATTAGGTATTTTGGGCCATTTGAGGTGGTTTGGGATGGTTTGGGGTTGAGGGGGAGGGTTAGGGGATTAAATAGGAGAACAAAAAAAAAATTGGGCCGGTTTGGCCCGGCCCGGCCCGGTTTGGCCCGGAACCGGAACCGGAACCGGCCACCGGCGGTTCGGGCTCGGGCCTCCCCTTTCCTGCCCCGAGGCCCGGCCGGGCCCAGGCCCGAACCTGGCCCAAACCGGCCCGAGTCCAGCTCTAGTCTCTGGTCTGGTCTGGTCTGGTGTGGTCTGGTAAACGTCTGGTCTCTGCGTATTTTATAACTATGAAACTATGGTCTGGTCAGTTTAAGTCTGGTCTGGTCTGTTTAAGTCTGGTCTGATCTGGTCTGGGACTGAAAACGGTCCAAAAGAAAACATCCCTAAGTATGCAAATTCAATGCAGTGGCACTGTAGTATCCGCGTTTTCTAAATTTGGAAAACTAGTAAAAGTCACTTCTCCATATCATTAAGAAAAAGAGAAACATGTCTCGTTTTTTTCTGTTTTGGAAAACCATTTGGTAAACGCATTTTGTTGTTTTCCATTCTACAGTTTTCTATCAATTTTCTTTGGTAAACACGCTTCCTGTTTTCTGTTTTCTAGTTTTCAGTTTTCTGGAAAACTGGAAAATATCTCTGTTAGTAAACATGCACTTAGCTTTTCTTGCACACATTATATACATCTATTGTTGTTTAATTTCGATATTTTTTTGCAATCTTTCTTACTTTGATTATCTTTTCTTATGCTTATAATCAGTCATACAATCTCTCGATCACTCTTACAAAGTTACAATTCTACAAATCTAATCAATTCTAAAGTACATAATAAAAGTTTGGCCATTCCATAAAACTCAGCGCATGAATGCATGCAGAAGATCCGTAACCGCACATAATATGAAGGTCTTACTTTAGATAAGAGTAGAATAAAAATAATATGCTTGGACATTTTGTCGAACACACATGGCGCGTTAAAAAACTAGTACTAGAGATATAGTACTAGAGATAGATGGGGATATTTTCGCGGCTTCCCTGACCGGCTCAATTGGAGAGGAGGGATCGGCTTTGACTGCTCAGATCAGCGAATTAGGATCTAAATTTTTGGTGCTTAACAGCCAAGCTGTTGAATGCTCAGACCGGCTCTTTTTGGTGCTAAATTATGTTGTCTCTATTTTTGGTGCTAAACAGCCAAACTTTGCTCTTAAATTGCCATCAAGATGCCATCATTTTTGCAAGTTAACATTTTTCGGTGATATAATTCAAATACATAAATTATTGTCACATTCGACTATTAACTTCAATTAAGATGTAAGATATGTTGGGACGACCATTTCAGCTCAAATGAGGATTGGGTTGGATGCTCTCCTTTTGATCCATTGTCAATTAGTATTCATTCACACTTCCACATAATATTAACATAAATTATTGTTATCAACATGTAATTTATGTTCAAATTATGTATTTGATATATCAAAAGAAAGTAATATGATATCTCAAATACATAATGTTAACATAAATTATTGTTCATGTGTCATTTATTTATACTAGCGTAAGCTCATCTGGTGTAGTTATAACTTGGATACGACTTTAAGGTTGTTCGCAACCCAAGGGGTGAAAGCCCCAAATATAAGGTATTCACCCCAAATATGTTGCAACACTACCCAAATTAACGTATTCCAAGGTGCCAAGGTGGGTTGGGGCCTTCTTGTGGACACTCAGTAATATTTAAAGAGAAATCATTATTAATCGACTGCATATTCTTGTATGGAAACACACATATACAAGTGTAGAAAAGTAATGTATATTCTTATTTAAGGAATATAAAACATGGATTCATATTTAGGAATTTTAACCATGTTTTATTCCTATTTAGGAAATTTCTTCTTATTCAATCATCATACTAAGCTAGGAAAAGTATGATGAAAATATTAAAGATGATGGTGTGAAGTTGGAGTCCGAACTTTGGTTTCCACGTGAGAGTGGAAACAGATGAAGCTCCCGAGTGACGATGAGCATTGGCTGCACTGGCTGCAGCAGCGCTACTGCTGGAAGAGCCCTTCGCCAACGCCGCTGTAAACATGGCATCGAATAAGAACACAATGATGATGACTTTCGTAAATTTCTTAGTCGCAGAGAAGCCGTTTAGGATCTTTGTCTCCATGATTAGCGGACGTACTTCTCTCAATCTCCTTCGAAGAAATTCAAAGAACTTAATTATTAATTTCGTGAATAAAAAAATTAAACACACTTCACAAGCTAGCTTGATAGAACACATTCGAAAAGTGAGTTAATATTTCCTCCGTTCTCTTTTAGTTGCAAAAGTTCACTTTTCATGTTTGTTAACGAACAACTTTAATCATTAAAATATATCATATCTTATTACTAAAAATATTTAAATTTTCATATTTTGAAAATTTAAAATGAGAGGAATTTGACAATAATTTTCAAAGAAAAATTACAATACATTAATATATAAAATGTAGTCAAAGTAGAGTATGTGAAAGGGCAAAACTCACCAATATAATGTATTGATGTACGGAGTATTATTGTTTGTAACACAGATCAAATAAATATACTCCACGAAATAGATGTATATATAGTTGGAGATAAGTCCGCATTTGTCTTTAGATGGAATTGCTTTGACACGAAGTTACATATACGGAGTATATGACATGTGCATATGCGTACTACTTCTGTGGAATATACATGACATGTGCACATGCGTACAACCCGTATTGAATTACTTCCACCTGAAGATATATTGACGTCAACCGGATTGGAGTAAAATATAGAGAAATTAAATTGCCCTAAATAAAAGTAAACCATGATTAAAATTCCTAAATGAGGTCAAATTTTATATCCTTTAATTAAATACGACTATGCATTACATATATACTGTTAATAAAATTAATTGCCCCCTAGTTTTGCGGTCCTAGAGTAACCAGGACAGACCGGATCGGAAGTGGAGGCTATTGGAAGACACGTATGCATAAGGCCATACGTACGCATGCATGCATCCATTCTTTATTCTTCTTGATAAGATTTAACTAATACCGATAATGTATTATTTTTTATTATATTGTACATTTTTTTGTTGTGGTTATCCACTCCAACCGTTAGCAGTAGTATTGGAGTAAGACTTTATTTGTAGCTGATTGCTGCGTAGCTTTAGGCGAAGGTTAGCACGCATGCAGTATATATTCTTTGTACTATAGCCTTGTAAGTCATCTTTTGGGGAATACGATTACAATTCATATTTTATTTTGGTATCAGAGCGAGTAAACAATCCACATTCCACGTTTATTTGTTTTACGAAGAAATTGACCATGGCCAACTCTTCTGGCAACCGAACGACCGAACCCGTGTGACGGAAGATCAATGATCCTTCGTCTCCATATTACCTGGCAAGCTCCGATTTTCCTGGAATGCACATTTGCGGGGTTACCCTCAAAGGCGAGAGTAACTATCGGGAATGGACGACGGCGATGAAAAATGCCTTTCGTGCAAAACGAAAGGTAGGTTTTCTGGACTGTGCAATCAAACGACCAGAAAACAACATACAGGACCTGGAAGATTGGGACACCGTGAACTCGATGCTCGTGGGTTGGATGATGACCGCAATTGAGCCCTAATGAAAGAGAATATTAGGAATGCATACACCGTACACAACACAATAACACAATAATAGAACGAAAATAAAAAGTGCATTCTTCCGGCCACTATGAACTTCCCTATAAATAGTACTCCCTCCGTCCCGAATTATAAGATACTTTTCGATTTACGATGTTTGACCGACGATAAAGCAAATAGATTTCTGTCTGCACTCAAATGTTTTTTAGAAAAAAAGTTACATATTCAGAAACTACATTAAAACCGCTACAAAACCTGCAAAAAGTAATACAAATTTCATAAAATTTTGATATATAAAGTTAGAGATTAAGAGTGATTTGTGTTGACAAAGTGAATAGTAAAGATATCTTATAAAATGGCACAGAGGGAGTAGAAAATCTTTGGAAGAAGTTCTTCCTTTTCTTTTTCTCAAGCTCTAATCCTCAAGATTTTATCTTCTTCAAGCTTCTTAAAGCTCTCATCCTAGACAGCATGTGGTAAAGCAACCACCTAAAGCAACACAACGAAAAAAATCCAGAAAATAGATATATAAAAATTTGGATATGTTTTAACCAAAAAACTATTCTAGAGATTGAATTAATTGCTATGAATATGAAATTAGGGACCATTTAGGGTGCGTGCAAGAATGCTATGCTATACACCTAAAGGGAGAATCCCTCACTCTCAAAGTTTCTCGCTTCTCTCTCCACTTTATTGCTTCGCTCACCCAGCTTCGGTTATCCACCATAAATCAATTCCTTTTATTACTTTCTTTCTCAACATTACGTTTCAATTTCGGTTTCAATAATAAAGATCAAACTAACAATATATGATAGAATAGATAGAGTAGAGAAGAAACGATGATCCGATTCAATACCAAACAATGATCTCGAAATACAGAATGGGGTATCGAGAAAGGATTCGGCTCTCTCTCTCTCTCTCTCTCTCTCTCTCTCTCTCTCTCTCTCTCACTAGATGACTTATGCGCTCATGGGCGTAGACAGGGGGTGGCCATCCCTGGCCATGGCCCAGCCCAAATTTTAAAAATGTCTAAATTTTTAAGGTAAAAAATTCTGTGTAAATTTTTTTCCAAAAATATTCTTTGTACCGGCCCAGTCCGGCCCAGTATCCTGGCTCCGCCCCTCTATGCGCTAATGTGCGTGAATATTCTGTAAAGGCTTGCTACACATTCCCTAAAAGGCAATATTTATATGCCTAGGGAATGTGTTGATGTGACCTAAGCATGAATTGGGCTTCTTTATGGATTGGGCACCGAATGGGCCCAATAGCACCATTTACACATTTTCTAATAAGGCTGGTCTATTTATAGCTTACAAAGGTGTCAATGGGCTGAAATATCTAAGAGCCCGTTTGGTAGCACCAAAATCGGCTGTTTTGGCTGATTCTGCTTAAATTTATGATATTCTGGCTGGAGTGGCTGTTTTGGCTGATTCTGCTGATTTACGAAAAAAATATTTTAAAAATATATTTTATTAATAAATTAAAGAAAAAATTATATGTAAAAATAGCTAAAATGGTCCTCTACAGTAACTTCAGCCAATACAGCCAGAAAAGTAACTCCAACCTTACTTTTTCGGCTTATTACACAATTCAGCGCGCGAAAGTAAAAGTTACGTGTTTGGTGAAAAAGCTGGCTGATAAGCCTGATAAGCCGAAAACAGAGTTCTCCAAACGGGCTCTAAATAAAATAGCTACACAAACAAAGATGTATTGGACACCATAAATATCCCCAACATTTACATCTCACTCCATGTCTTCCTCCTACCCTCTGACCCTCCAAGCAACAACAATTTCATCTCACAATATCGATGGCTACTCAAAGAATCGGGCTTCACTCCAGAGGGTTGTTTTCAACGTCAGATTACCATTGTAGTTGCTCAAAGAAACAAGGATGTCACTTGATGGCTTTCTCATATCTGCTCACCGCAATGCCAGTAGTATCTCTTCAACTTGCAATGACAATCTTCAAATACTAACTCATCATTTTGGTTTAATGCTACTTTCCTGAAATTAAAATTTAATATTGTTTACTCCGTATTGTTTAAAGATATCGTTTGTTCTCTAGCTCTAAATTTTGAACCAGTGTACTTTGCAATCTGAAGTATATAGTATTAGTGTTATTTGACAACTCATATTCTTTTAGAGCAAAACCAGTGTTTTAGGTTTATTAACCATTCAGTAATACTTATTGTGAGAGTTGGAGAAGAAAAAAACAGAGAGAGCTACAGAGATTACATGTATTTACAACACTGGATATTTGGGGTCCTTTTTTCTTTAGTTTTTTTGGATACCACCTAAGCTATTCAGCCTTTGGGCTTTTTAGAACGCCGGGTATCTGGAGGCCTTTCACCCATAGTTTTTTTTCTTTGACCGGTTTGAACTCATTATTCTATTTAAATGAATTATTATAGGGATTTGGTCATAAATATTACTAAAAAATAAGCAATGGACAACAATAAGACCGGTCTTCAATTTGGACAACAATAAGACTACACATTACCCAATTGACTAAAATACCCCCTAATTGAAAAAGGAGACCCAGGTCCCCCTGATCGATCCCAACGATCCATGCCATAAGCTCCATCCATAGATGCGACTCCTCCATGCCCGTCACCACCGTCTCCGTCCCATTACGCCGCCGCCGCCGAATCCAACAACGTCCCAGGTAAGCCTCTCTTCCGATGAAGCTAGGGTTTCTCTGCTGGCTGAACGATCGAGGATCCATGGCGACGGCCGCGGCGATATCGTCTCCAACAGCTAGGGTTTCAAAATCGAGCATGGTGACGGCGATTCAGCTACGATTTTGACGTAGCGGCATGGCAGTTAGGGTTTTTTGGGCGTGGTCTGGGTTTAATTTGATGGGACCAGTGGAGGACCTAAGGGGGGGCTAGGTGGGGCACGTGCCCCGCTTCGAGCCCGGAATTTCACTAGTAGTACTTAGGATAAAAACGAGTGCCCCGACTTCATACCAGTATTTGATAATTATGATACTAAAATGTTACGGTTATATAATTAAAAAATTAATAAAAAATATTTAAATTTTAGTTGAATTAAAATAAAAGATATAGAATTATCAAAAAACAAAAAATAATTAATAATTCAAAAAAAAAAGTAACAAAAAAAGTTAAAATGCAAAAAGTAGCCAATGTGCGAGCAACTAAAAGTACATAGTATTAAAAAGTCTAAAAACCCACTAACATTTGGAAGACTAGAATGATAAAAGTCGAAGTTCTCCAATTTTTGTGAGTCAAAGCTACTGAACCTTACAGAGTTATATTCATGCGATTTTTCATTTGTTAATCGAATGGAGCTGAAAGAGCAACTGCTGCAACTCCATGTGTGGATATATGAAATGAGAACAAATGAGTTATTTTCTGTCGTACAAAAACTATTGGTAAAGTTTGTAAGAAGATGGTTGAGCTTAAAGTTCACAATTCTTTTCACTTAGTATATTGTCTGATTGAGTTGACTTTAGTGTTACCAGTTGCAACGGCCACCGTTGAAAGAGCCTTCTCTGCGATGAGTATTATCAAGACAGATCTTCGCAATAAGATGAGAGGTGACTATCTTACGGATTGTTTGGACAACATCGAGAGAGATGTTTTTAGAAGCATCAATAATGAAACTATTATGCAATATTTTCAGAATATGAAAACTCGTGGGCTATTTAATATGTAATTAACTATTCTGTATAATTTAATATATTTTTTTTACCAATTTTATTACATTTGGAGTTTTTATTATAGACTAACTTTGGTGTCTAGTGTGCCTCCGCTCTCACAAATCTTTGGGTCCGCCACTGGATGGGACTGGGGAGGGGCTGCCTGGGCGGTTGGGGAGGGGGCTGCCTAGGCGATGCTGATCATCGCTGGGGAGGGTTGGTGGTGTGAGGTGGTTGCAGTCTTGCAGGGGTTGGGGGCGGGAGTGGTGGCCGGCAGCTGCGGCTGCGGCAATGGTCGGGAGATGCGGTTGCAGGGGATTTGCGGGCTGGGGTATGCTGAAGAAGGGCTTGGGGCTTGGGATGAAGACATGTCAGGGAGGCTGGCCGCCGGAGTGAGGGCGGTGGCGGGTCACCGATTCACCGGCGGTGGTGGCTAGTGGCGGTGGCCGGCAGTGGTAGCTAGTGATGGTCACTATCGGGTCGGGTTAATGCAATGGATAGAGTCTAGTAACTGATGAGATCGAGTAAGTGCAACTGGTTAAATCAAATAATGTAACTGGTCCGATAACATATATTTGTAATCGGTCGTGTCAGCTAACTGTAACTTGTCAGGATTGGTAAATACAAATGATGGTCGGGTGTAACTGATCAGGTTTGATAAATGTAACTTGTTGAGTAACTCTAACCGATCGAATTACGTAATTGTAACTGATCGGATTGAGTAACTGTAACTGGTCAAATTTGATCAATGTAACTGATTGAGTAACATTAATTGATCGGATCTAGTAACTGTAACTAGTCGAAATCCGATAGTTGTAACTGGTCGGATTTGATGAATGTAACTGGTCGGATTTGATTAAGTAACTAGTCGAAATCGGACTGATATTTAATTTTTGGTCACTGTTGGGTTTTGGACTTTTGGTCACTGGCGGTTTTTTGGTCACTAGCGGATTTTGGTCATTGATGGATTTTGGTCACTGGCGAATTTTTGGTCACTGGCGGATTTTGGTCATTGATGAATTTTGGTCACTGGCGGATTTTGTAACTATGTCATTGGTAACTGTAACATTGGTCACTGCACATTTGGTCACTGTGGCGGGTTACTGTAGCAGGCCAGTGGGTTTGGGCTTAGTAAGGGTGTAACAGTCCCTTAAGTATTATTTAGTCTTATTTTTGGAACTTAAAAGAAAAGTCTTTTTTTTTGTACAAATGCTTTTAATTAGTATTATTTGAGGACAAACCCCTTGATAAAATGAGTGAATCTGGTTGGGAAAAAGAGAAAAAGAGACAAAGATTAGAAAAGGCAGCCTTAAGTAAGACGGGGGCAATGGAAAATTTTGTTTTTGTTAAGAAATTGAATCCTGGAAATTCTTCTCAAGTTGAATCGCCGCTAAATTCTTTTGTGAGTGAAAACCATAACATGCTTGAAAATAGTGATATAGGTGCAGAAACCGCAAATAGTGAAATTGAGCCAGATAATTGTGATTTAAGTGAAGAGAATAACTTTTGGTGGGTCCTGTTTCGTTGATCGATTTTTAGAGATTAGTTTTTGTCTTGAACATAGGCCCAAATAATATATCGCCCAAAGGCCCAAAAATCGACAGGACCGGCCCTGAAAGAGACCTTTCTTTTTACATTCCAAAAAAGAGACTAAGAAACACGTTCTTTACTAATTTGCCCTCCTTATCTTTCGCTGCACCGTAGGTCCGTAGCTAACTAAAAATCAAGTGCGTAAGATACCAATTTCCAAGTACGTAGCAAACTAATAATGCACTCTAACAAGATCTTTTTTTTATAATATTTAATAAGATTCCGTAGGAATGCACTCTAACAAGAGTTTTTTTTACTCCTTATTTAATATGATCCATGCAATCTCTGACAATACACCAGTGATAAATGTTTGTTATTGAGTCAATGAAAATTAATGTTTTTTATTTTAATATTATTTCTAAAGATAAATATTAAGATGAAAATTGTGTGAAAATGTTCCAATGACCAACACCTCAATTAGTACCGCTCTTAGTGACCATCGTCTCAATTACTGTTACAGCTTCAGTGACATCGTCTCAGTTACTGACGTTCCGGTGTTAGAGTCATTAGGACAGAAGAGTCCAAAGGAATGTGAGTACAGAAACTAATAAGCCAAGGAAAAAAATTGAACTATTTCTCGATTTTTGTTTGTCTGCCCAGGGGCTTGTTTGCAATCGCTTAAAAAAAGTGAATTTGGCTTTTTTAAGAAAAAAACACTTATTTTACCAAATACTACCAACTTTTATTTTCTCGACTTCTGTGTAGAATCTACTTTTTACTTTTTCTATAACACAAAAAACACTTTTTTATCAAACACTACCAACTTTTACTATTAATCACTTTTTCCCAAAAAATGCTTTTATTTAAGCACAAGTGGTTGCAAACAAAGCCTAAGATATTTACGTTAACTGCACCTGGTAGTTAGAAGTATTCCACAATCACTCTACATAATTGCACTACTTTGAGGAACCTCATTTTCCGGCTCATTGCCTAAGCCATTTCATCCGCACGATTACTTTTCTATCTACGACTCTGCTAAACTTCTTATTTTATTTCCGCCTCTCATCTCTCCCCAGACTCATTGCATCTTTCATCGCCAGCATCTTCTCAGCCGTAGTCTCATCCTTAGTTATATCTCATCCTTAGTTATAGGAAGCTTCATTCAGTCCTTGGAAGATGCCGTCGTTTCTGAAACCCCTCACCTCACTCACCCCCAAATCGCCGCCGCTGGGTTGTCCGCCGCCTTTCACCTCATTCTCGGCGCCACCAATTGGCGATAGATCTCAATTCTCGCCTTTTCCTTCTCCCTTCTCCAATCTAATGTCAATCGGAGCAAACAAGCGGATTCCATAGCAGAAAACATTTTCTGGAGTAAAAGTGTACTTCATCGTCTTCTTTATTCAATGATGATGCATAGGTACCGTTTGTATTTTTTTAATAATTTTATTTTATCAATTCTGTATTCCCAGATTCATTATTCTATTAGATAATGAATCATATTTTAATTGCTAAATTTTCGACCTAAAGAAAAACTATGTGCTTCATCTGTCATTGCTTGACTACTGCTTTCTGAAATTCTAGATTCTAATTGTGCTTTGATTTAAACTACAGCTAGCAGAGGTTTCATTTGATTCTGTAGTGTTATCTATATTTTTCATATATCATATTTGATAAAGAGCTCAAATGATCTTTTTAGTAGCGTTAGAAACAAACCTTCCAGTAGTGTTGTATAAAACAATTGAGGTTTCGTACTCCGTATGATTTTTCAGTATCATATGATTTTAAATAGTGTTGTCACACTTTTTAAAACTTCAGTTTTATCACATTTTAGATGTTTCAGGAATGATTTTATTTCCACCCTAGCATGACCATATGCATTTGGTGTAGTCAAGCATTAATCTCTCTAAGACTTGCATCCCATTTAGTTAACTTGACCAGCATTGTATCTGGGCTTTAAATCCTAACATCCCTTATTTTTCTCAAACTTTAAAATGTTTCGTTTTTTTGCTGGATTATATATTTCTTCTTTACATATGAAGGGTAACTCAGTTTTTTTCACGCTGAACTTAGAAAGAAACGAATGTTCTACTTTCGCTAACATAGAAATTTTCCAAGTGACATATCTGCAGTTTTTATGTATATATGGTTTAGGTCCACTATTTCTCTATATATGAACATTATTAAGTCTCTAGATATTATGATGTAACACTACAACAATTAAGCCCCTAATGTAACAGTCAAAAGTGTTACAATACCACTAAAAAATGTTACAATATCACTAAAAAGTGTTACATTAGAGCAATTGTAACACTTTTTTACCATTACATTTGCTCATGTTGCATTAGATTCTATTGTAACACTTTATAGACCCTAATGTAACATTTATACTTCTAGAAAGTGTTACATTAGATCTAAAAAGTGTTACATTAGAGAAATATGTAACACTTTTACAAACTGTTACATCATTAATGTTACGTTAGGTCTGAAAATGTAGTAGTGTAATTTTAGTCATATCAATCAACAATTACCTTTAACTGAACCAAAACATATGTGATCATAATTAACAGATAATCAAAGCTCTTGAAAATTCTCATCTTCTATTCTGTTTTTCAATCTCCAATTCATGTTTCTGTTTTCAATCCTTCAAATAGAATCATTTTCTTCAGATTTCCCCTCCCCTCAAACTATTAGGAAAGGATATCAGTCATTTATTCTTTAATGTATGTTTGTATTTTGTCATATTAGTTAAAATTATGACATTTAATTGCGGTGGTGAAGATATTCATATTCAAATTTTAATAGTGAAAGTGTACTTTATGTTTCACAAGGAATAATTCTATATATTTAATTTATACAAATTCAGATTTGATTACTTTCTAGGATTTCTTTCATGCGAAACAAAGCGTTATTTTCTCATCTTATTCATCTCATATTGTATTTCTATTCCTGCTCAATATGCTATTTATATTTTCGGTTTTGTTTTGTGGTGGAATTGATTTTCATTTTTTCTATCCCATTCTGGTTGAAAGACTTTTTTTTTGCCAGGAGATTTTTCCCAGGGTTTGTTCGCACTCTGTCTAGAAGGATTCTTCACATTATGGGTTTGGTTGTATCCTGATGTGAAGGATTTTTTCTTCATATTTGAATTTCGATTGAGAAGGTAAGAGGTTTGATAGGGAAGATAATGTGTTACTTTCCACTTTTATTTCGATTTTAGATTCATTGGTATTTTTTTTACATCGGTTATTCAATCTTTATCTCCATTTTCTTCCTCCATTCCTTCAAGCTCATATGAATTGAAATTCTTGAATTTAGTATATAGAAATATGCAATGTAAAGAATGGCTACTTTTTGTTACTTGACATTTATGTATTATCACATTTGAAACATGTACGTGATGTGTGATATAATACGGAGTAGCATTATTTCCTTATCATTGACACCTTTGGT